ATAATTCAAACAACAAATTTCATGTTTTCAAAGGTATGTACAAATAGTATACAATTGTGTATACATTCATCCGAACAGAGAGAGAGAGAGAGAGAGAGAGAGCATAAACTATATACAAACACAAAAATTGTTGTAAATATCGATACGATATATCAGATAGAAGTTTGAGATTATATTTTTATGCGAGACATAAAAACACTTAAATCGAGTCTAAAGTAATTTATAAAGTAATTCAAAATATTTCATTTCATGTAAAACACGACTAAACAGAAACTTACTTTTTAGTTATATCCTATTCTCAACACAATTACTATCCATTTTAAACATTTTTAAACATCATTTTCGTGTAAAACATACAGAATTGCAAACAATTTTCTCTTTTAAAAACAATTGTAAAACAAAAATTAATTTACAAAATAAGTTTTCTCTCAATATTAAAACTTTAAAATTAGTTTTGAACTGAAATTTGTAAACAATTTGTCGTTTTCTATATTGAATGGACATGTTTTTGAAAAGTAAATAATTTATTTTAATTACAACTTCATTTGAAAATTGTTTTATTTAATTAATTTTAAAATTTAATTTAAAACGTAAAACAAATACCAAAAACAGATTAAAATCCTTTTTCTCAACTAATTGTATGAAATAATTTTAATTCAACATTCAGTCGATTAGCCTTCAAATGGGATTAGAGTATTGTTTTATACGGGAATTACAGCTAATCTTTCTCTTCAATGCTTACCATTCATTCATTTGTGTTGAATATGTTATGAAAAGTGAATCGTTTTGAAGACAATACTAGGCGTACAATGAATTCAATCTCTGGGGTATGTATTAAAGGATTTATAACCAAAACTGATGCTCACCTCACATCTCAAAATGTCTAGAACTCAGACACTTGTATACAATATCTTCAGTTCCACATCATATCATATATAGAATATACTTATACAGAATATTCTGTGTATAACTCGTACAACACACACATTATATGGTGTAGTGTATGAATGTTGTTTGCAATACATATATTGATATATCAATATCTCTATCTTCTATATTAATAATAATAACAATAATTAGATGTTTAGACAACACATCCAATGACGCGCTTGAATGATGTTAATGGACCAGAGATTGGATCGACAAATAGTATATACGGTTTAATTATGCCGTCTGTCATATGCCTGACAGTTAAGTCATGCTATTATTGTTACAGCGATATGTTTATTACATTAATTGTAAACACAATTTGAGATTCAGTATCCGATAGCGGAAGTGAATCGGAAATCCGCGCCCAAAATAAAAACTAAGATCTTATGAGTTATACCTGTGTTTGAAGTGATCACGAAAAAGATGTGGGTTTAAGAGCTACTCAAACTCATACTCCAATTACATTAGTTTGTATCGCAATCCTATTATTATGTATGCAAATACATGTGATTGTCTTCTACTTCTTGAACAATCAGTTGAGTCTCACCACTAGTTATACGACTATCTGATTAGGGATACGCTTTAATTGGTATTTATTATGAATAAATACTAATTATAATAATGTATATTCTGTTCATAAGGTATAAATAGAAATACATGTAAAGTGGAAATATCTCTTTATGTGAAAATATCTCAAGTATTGATAATTATGATTATTCAATGCACAGAATTTATATACAGTATAATAAAATCAGTATTTTACTAATCTATTAAGCTAATAAAGTAGCTAATTAAATCCAATTTACCATATTTCAAATGATAACTTATATTACTTTTAGGATTGCTATGCATTTCTATCGATTTTATAAAAGCATACATTTTATAAGCAATTATTCGTCACAAAAAACACTTAATTTCATTGAATTTATAACAATATCTTTCATTCAAACAAATTTCTCTTCAATTTAGTTAATGAAAACTTTTCACATTTTATTCATTCAATTTGATGTCCGGTTTGAGATTAAAAACACATAATTCATTAAAATTGTTAACAATTCAAACAATTGTGTTAAAAAAATATGATAAGAAATGGGATTTAAAAAGTGCATTAAAATAATTGATAAAAAACTTAAAAACTTTGTGCATTTGAGTTGCGAGTGGCGACTGATTGTAACCAATGAATTAATTAATGAATTAGAGGCCAAAATTAAACTATAAATACGCTTTTGTTACAGAATTTAATACATAATTTCTTCATTACACACATATTTTAATATATAATTCTTTAGACTATAAATAATTAGTAAATAGTTTATCGATTTAATTCACAATTATATTAATATACAGTTATGTATATATTATAAACCGATTATGAGTTGTCAACAAAATAATCGACAATTTGTTTCATTGTTTTTGTACAAAAACACCGAAAGATCAAAAAATACAAAAATTATAGTTTAAATTAGAATCTCATAAATAATTTACAAATTCATTCACTAATTCAGTACTGATTTTGATGATAATTGATTGCATTGGTAATGCTATTGTGCTGTGAATTACCGCCCGATAGCTGTCTCTGCAATTGTGAGACCACTTGTTGCGGCCGTTGGCCACTGTTTTGCCACTGATTCATATGCGGCGGCCCTCCAGTGTTGCCCATTGGCTGCATATTTGTGTTTTGGTTGAAAGTGTTGGGCCGGTTGTCCATCGCTCCCATCTGACCCATCGTTACGTTAGGCGCCGCTTGCATTGTCTGGTATTGAGACCTAAATAATACAATACAATGTCACAAATGTCGCATCATTTGAGCCATTTCTATGCAAACCTTTGAGGCATAAACTGTTGCGTTGATTGTTGGCTAACCATTTGCTGTTGTGTCTGCATCTGTGCCCTCATCATCATAGGGTTCTGTTGCTGCGGGTGTTGATAGACAGGCGGCGGGTGACCGGACTGTTGGCCAGACATCTGCACCGTTTGGTCCATACTTTGCATCGGCATCTGGTTCTGGAACGACATGTTAGGCGGGGGTCCGCCGTAATTGCCCTGCGATTGAACGGACATGTGATGCATGGGTTGGTTCTGAGTGGCCACCGGTTGGTTCACAGTCTGCATTTGATACATGGGATTCTGCTGAACGTTCACTTGCATTGGCTGCGACGGCGCCCTCATCTGCGCCCTCATCGACATCACTGGTTGTCTTGTCTGGTATGGCGTCTGTTGCGGCACCGATGAGGCCATCATAGGCTGATTGAGCGCCATATTGGGAGCGTTCGTCGGCTGCATATTGAACGACGGGGTTGTCGGGTGTCTTGTGCTGAGCATCGCCTTCAGCGCACCCTTGGAGTGGCCCACAGGTCGCGGCGGATCTGTGAAACGCGGGCCAACCATTTGCTGCTGTTGTGGTGGCGGATAGAACTGCTGTTGCGATTGCATGGGTGGCTGCGGGGCGGCAGTGGTCTGTTGGGGATGCGATCCGTAGCCCCAGTTCTGTTGCATCGGCTGCTGATGCGGTGGAGGCAATGGCGCCACGTATTGGTCGTTATAATTGGTGGGCATCCGTATGGGAGGCGTCACTTGACCGCTATTGCCGTTCGCATTCTTCGGTGTCCTTCGCGGCCGTCGCGGAGCCTTCACTTTCTTAGGAGTGGGCACTCGAGGGTTCACGTGCTCTAACATAAGGTCGCGTCGCATACCGTCGTCCATACTATTCATGTTATTCATGGCATTCATACTATTCATGGCATTCATAGCATTCATGTTTTGCATCATTTGGTTGGGAACGGCGTTCGGCATCATTTGTGGCGGCATTTGATGTGTCATTTGGTGAGGGATTTGGTGCTGAATAGGCATCCGTTCGTTAGGTATGGGCGGCATTGCGGGCGCAGGCGTCGGCTCAATGGCGTCTTCGGGCGGCAGCGGTGGCGGCTCTAAGTAATAAGAGGTGGGCTTTCGGATCGAGTGGTTGTGTCGGCCCAACAAATAGTGATTCTCTTCGCCTCGCAATGGTTTGCGTTCAATGCGAACGGCACCGAACCAGGTCCAGCTCAACGGCGCCGGATTCTTGTGGCCCTCCAACAGATCCCACGGCGAGACCTTCTGCTTCTCAGCCACTTGTAAGCCCTGTTTCTTGTCTATTGAGTCAAAACCGGCGATTTTGTTGCCTTTGGTGTCGATTAGGGAACCCATTGGTTCGCATGTAATCACTTCGCAGTTTTGTTTGACAATCGGAAGCAACTGTCGAACCATTTTAATGCCGGGAGTGATTCGGTCGATATTCAGCTCTTTCTTAAGTTTTTTGATTAAGTTTTGGTAATGTTTTTTGCTCTCCTCTCGCGTCTCGGATGAGTCCGACACGAGAGTCGTGTGCATCAGAACTGTCAACATATCCAACGCTGTGGTGAAGATATCGTAATTGATCTGCGGGTCAACGATCGTAAAGCTGATCAGTTGTATCAATAGGACGGCCCAGTCGTTCATCAACGACGACGAGCGCTGAATCATATCAAACATTCCTCCCATCAGATTCAGCCGCAACTGTAGGCCCTCTTGGATGGCGTGTTTGGCCTTCAAGTCGTCGCAGAGTTTCTCGTTAATCGCTTGAGACAATTGATTGTACAGTGAGTTGAGAAGACTTTCCCTTTGATCGTCCTGTCCTTTCAGACACATCAATACCAACGACAGGAATGGCTGATGGCTTAACAACGATGGCGTCGAATTGGATGAACTAACATTTGACGTATTCTTCTGCTGTTGAAATCCGCGATCGGTTTTGCTCTTATACGACGAGTTCTGCGACGATTGGTTCGCGCCGTTAGACATCCAATTTCCCGCTTCCAACACATTGGCCGCCACTTTAAGTATCTTTCCCTCGACAGCGGGCGGCAGTTTGGAAATGAGTGGTGCGATCAGCCATACCCTGTCCTTCTGGTTGTGGCTGTCGTTCATACGACTCGACTGTTTGTAAAGCATTTGTCGAGAACTACTTCGCGGACTAAATAACGATAATTGCCAACCATTTTGCGGATATTTAGCCATCTCTTCGCTGGAGTTTTGAAAGAAGTCGACCGTCGCTTTGGCCACGTTTTCCAACCAAGTGTTCACTTCGGCCGACGATTGGGCGTACATTAGCTGCAACTGAAGCCACGACACTCTTATCGACCATTCGTCCAGATTTTGCAAGATTTTTGCAATCGATATCTTTTGGTCGGAATCTATCTCTTGTAAGGAATGCATTGTAATCAGCTTTGGGTGACAAATCATATTCAACAGATGCTGAGCCTCTTTATGCGATAGTTTCGGATCCAAAAGCAATTTATTGAGAATTTCCGGACTTATCATAAAACCTCTCAGACATCTGTCGTGAACCCATTGTTGGCCACAAATCTGTTTTAACGCAAACTTCGCCGCTTCGCTCAGACCTGCCTTTTCCATGACTCTCGGGCGGCAGTTTGGAAATGAGTGGTGCGATCAGCCATACCCTGTCCTTCTGGTTGTGGCTGTCGTTCATACGACTCGACTGTTTGTAAAGCATTTGTCGAGAACTACTTCGCGGACTAAATAACGACAATTGCCAACCATTTTGCGGATATTTAGCCATCTCTTCGCTGGAGTTTTGAAAGAAATCGACCGTCGCTTTGGCCACGTTTTCCAACCAAGTGTTCACTTCGGCCGACGATTGGGCGTACATTAGCTGCAACTGAAGCCACGACACTCTTATCGACCATTCGTCCAGATTTTGCAATATTTTTGCGATCGATATCTTTTGGTCGGAATCTATCTCTTGTAAGGAATGCATTGTAATCAGCTTTGGATGACATATCATATTCAACAGATGCTGAGCCTCTTTATGCGAGAGTTTCGGATCCAAAAGTAATTTATTGAGAATTTCCGGACTTATCATAAAACCTCTCAGACATCTGTCGTGAACCCATTGTTGGCCACAAATCTGTTTTAACGCAAACTTCGCCGCTTCGCTCAGACCTGCCTTTTCCATGACTCCCGGCTTTCCTGACAGCGGACTACACAAAACAATTGAGTCATTAAATATACAGTCAAATCAAAGCAATTAATTAATACTAACGGTAGTCCCAAATCTCCAAATTCTTCGTCGCCACCAATTGGTCCCAAGATATCACTTATACTGAGTTCTCCCTTACCATCGGTTTTAGTTTTTGACTCTGCGTTACGTTTTTCGACAGAATTTCCTAATTTTTAAACAAAAAGCTTTAAAACATGTCTTAAAAACAATTCAATAAAATAATACCCAAAAAGAGAATCGCCTTTAAGACCATTAAAACCATTTCAATGCGAAGAGTACTGTGAGCGGCGGCTAACAGGTATCGATCGCACGGGTATTTGATATTGTAATGAGGTTTTTGAGTCGGATTGGGAGGCGTTTGCGCCAACACTAGTGGTCCCGGACTTGTCAACGAATAGCGCGAAGAAGTGGCGAACGATGTCATCGTATTTGAAGACAACGGAGTCTCCGATGTCTTAAAAAGACAAAGCAGTAAATGACACGTAAGTCGAGCTCCGGGTTCGGCCTCTTCGGGCGTCTCCGCAGAAGACGGGGCCAGAAGTGAGGGAACGGCCACTTGAAGGATGAAGTCTGTGAGCGAAAAACATCGTCTGGCGATCAGTATTGACGTAAAGACGGCTAAATTGTCGTGAATCGAGAGATCGGAGACATCGACTTGTGTTAACAAATCGTAATAACTCTTTGGATTCGATGAACAACAGAGAGCTTTCAAAACGCTTAGCCATTCGCTGCTGAGATGAGAACAGGAAGCGGTCAGTTCGGCGCAGAGCACAGACATCTCATTGAGTTTGTCGATATCGCCGGCCATTGATATACACTGAATGGCGTTACACACAAACGAGTATCGGTCGGAGATATTGTCGCTGAGGTTACGGATGTGAATGGCGTCCACTTTAAGTTTGGGATTCTTAAGGTAATCGGCCATCACTGAGGCGTTGAGCCTCTGGTTTGTGGTGCCCTCCGAATGGGTGCTCACCTGAGAACTACTCAATTGCTTGATTTTCGATAACATTGTCGTAAAGCCGACCAATTCGTGAGATTTGGTTCGTAAAGAGTTGTACGAAGAGTGGAGATCCCATAAATAGAAGAGAATACACCGTTCGGCTGATGAACAGTCGCTGGGAGTGTTCACGTGTCGGACGAGTTTCCAGAGGCTCTCGAACACAGCGAGTGTCTCCTCGTGTGACACCAGAAGACACGTCTGATATCTGTAGAGAACGCCTACGATATACAGACCAATGGATGTACAGTAAGTGCGCTCCAAAATGGGACACTTTTGGTGCAATTGAATGTCCACTTCGACCAACTCTTTAAGCATTTGAATGACAAATTCAATCAATCCGTGGACATTGAGCGCCATTTCCATCAAATCAAAGAGAAACGCAATCGACTCGATTAGTGGCAAATAATTGGCGCTTCCAATGGCCACACCGTTCAGCATCTCTACGGCTGCGGTGGCGCAGGAAGTGGTCACCACGTGTTGGTCGAAAGTGGACAGCGCCTGAAACTTGGCGATCGCCGACTCGAAATTGAAGCCCTCTTTGATGGCGTGTTTCTTAACTTTCCCGCCGTCGCTGATATCCATCGACGACTTCCTGTTGAAGAGTTTTGTAATCTCTTTAGTGATCTTTTTGACCACGTGTTTGGCCTCGTCTTTGGCTTTGCCGACGCCGTACAGCAAAATGTGCCGCTGATTACAGTCGTGAGCGAACGTCTCGTCTTGTGGTAATGGGAAGTGCATTGTATATAACAGATGTCTGGGCGTCGCGTTCTTCACCGGTATTTCGGGCATTGGAAATGTGGTCGCGTGAGAGCCCAGACCAGTAGTGTTCGGTTCGTCCTCTTTGTCCGAACCCACAGAATCGGGGAGTAATATGTCTGCGAAACGACATGTTTTATAACGTGTTATTCAACATAATTATCGTTTGAAAAAAGGATTAAAGTAAAAGAGAGAACCATTAAAACCATTTAAATAAGTGTTTGAATTGCAATATGAAGTTAGAAAACCAAAAGTCGAAGAGCGACCCAACCCTTTACGTCGCTTCTTATGACTTTCTTTTAGGTTTTTATGGATTTTCAAGTCATGCAAAGTGTGTGTAATATTTTGGTTTCAAATTTTGATTTGCAAATGCATTTTCAATTCATGCCATAAATTAGGGAAAAAAGGTATAAAAACAAGAGTTAATCATAAAATAAAGAGAAATTGTTCCCAAAATACATATAAATTAAATGATAATAAGAGTGAAGACAATTGAGAAATGAGTGCCAATGTGGGGCACATGTGTGGGTACAGACCTGCCTGATCTGACATATTCTGTTGACCAGCTTTGATGTGTTGCAACAGTTTGTCTAAGTCTTCGTCCAGGTTTTCATCGAGATTCTCGTCGATGTCCATCGACGGCAGATCCCAACGCGTTGATTGGTCTGTTTGGCCGGCGTTCACATTATTGGACAGCGGGTCAAACATAGGCAGTGATGAACTGGAAGTGCTTTTCTGGATACCATTGGCGACGAGTTGTCCCAAATGATTGTGATTATCGTTATTAGTGGACATAAAGTCGAAGAGCGACCCAACCCTTTACGTCGCTTCTTATGACTTTCTTTTAGGTTTTTATGGATTTTCAAGTCATGCAAAGTGTGTGTAATATTTTGGTTTCAAATTTTGATTTGCAAATGCATTTCAATTCATGCCATAAATTAGGAAAAAAGGTATAAAAACAAGAGTTAATCATAAAATAAAGAGAAATTGTTCCCAAAATATATATAAATTAAATGATAATAAGAGTGAAGACAATTGAGAGGTGAGTGCCAATGTGGGGCACATGTATGGGTACAGACCTGCCTGATCCGACATATTCTGTTGACCAGCTTTGATGTGTTGCAACAGTTTGTCTAAGTCCTCGTCCAGGTTTTCATCGAGATTCTCGTCGATGTCCATCGACGGCAGATCCCAACGCGTTGATTGGTCGGTTTGGCCGGCGTTCACATTATTGGACAGCGGGTCAAACATAGGCAGTGATGAACTGGAAGTGCTTTTCTGGATACCATTGGCGACGAGTTGTCCCAAATGATTGTGATTATCGTTATTAGTGGACAAATTAGGCACAAATCCGGCCAACGAAGACGACTCTTCCATCGGATTGGGTTTGGAAGTACTGGCGCTGTGGGAGAGGAGCGATGTGTTGGGAGAGTTGGAGAACTGTCCGCGAGATATAAGTGTACACATGTAGAGGTCGTGCGAGAAGACGTCTCGGCGGATGAGTTCACCGAAAAGCAGTATTAAGTTAGAAAAGGCCTGTTTATTGTCGCCGCTATTGAGGCCAATCTTGTCCTCATAGACGGGCGCCTGAATGTCCAAAAAATTCAATAACAGATTCTGAAATATTGGTGTCGAAAGCTGTGAATCGCATGATTTGTTGCCACTATTGGCAGTCGTCGGCGAATTGTTGGCGTTTGTAATCGTATTGTTCGCACTATTGGCCGGTGTATTGCCGTTAGCGGTCGCCTCCGAATCCGTTTCTTCGCTTATCTCACTGTCCTTTTCGGCGGTCAACTCGTTCTGTCTCTTCTCCAACAGTTTGGCCACCACTAGAGCCCTGTGTTCGCCCGTTCTCTTGATAGTGACCGCCCATTCGCACAGTAAGCGCACAATCGGCTCGTCTTCGGCCATCACTTCTCCCACATTTCGGTTAACACTCTCAGCATTAGATCCATTATTAGGGCTACTGTTTGTGGGACTCGCGGTGTTATTGCTCGCAGCGGTATTGAAGGCGGAAAATATCTTCGAGTAGAGGGTATCGATTGAATTGTTTGAATCGAGTTTATCGAAACACTGTCTGTCGAGAGCGTCCAAAACGTTCAACAACTTGTTAACAGTGGTTCCGGGCGTCTGTTCCCACCGGTCGCACGACCAGTGCGTTTCAGACATTCGGCTTCTGTGGCGGATCTCTTCCTCCGCTTTGCGCAATTCGTTGCGAAGGTATTGGTTGTGTGATCGCGAGGGCATCGGCAGGTTTGACGGCTCGCAGGGCAGGTAATCGAGTGGCGAGCCCTGTATACTGTTGGCTCCTTTGCTACTCTCGCCCACATTCAGCCATATGAGAGCCGACGGGCAGTCGAGTGTAATGATCTGAATCATCACCGATAGGCCCAGTATTACGTTCCGATGGTGTGAACACTCTGTCAACTCATTGAAACAACTCATCAATTGTTCGCTCGCGCTCTGACTCTGGACAGCGTTTGTCGCCGTATTTGTGGCCGAAGTGTTGGCCGAACTGCTGGCCGACGCGTTGGGCGTCGAGGGAAACCCGTTCACCGAATTAACGCCACCGCTCTTCGAGTCGTCGGCGGCGTTGGTATCAGCGGTCGACAACTGATCCGGCGTCTGATCGGCGCTAAAGTCGGCCACGAGTTGACTCAGCTTTTTGGAGCACTGGTAGGCGAGCTTACGGGACAACTGTTCCGATTGCGTAAACTCGTCGATGTATTGAAGAACTAACGGCACGACAATACCAATTACCGAATCGTCGGGTGATTTAATTTTGTCCAACAGGTCTAACAGCCAACACAGGAAATCGTATTTGTCGAGTAGCCCGTCCTCATAGAGATGTCGGGCCAGTTGTGTGTAGTATTGCCACTGTTTGGGAACACTCGCGCCTCCAGTGCCTTCATCGGCGTCCACTGTCGCCGAAGCGGCGGCAGCGCTAGCATTGGTGGCGCCGACGGCGGCGGTTCCGGCGGGCGTCACGCCGTGATAATACTCGCACAGCTTCTGGTACTGTTCGCGAAGATATTTACACAAAGCGTTGGTCCAGTCTTGGCTCTGGTCCGGCAGTTGGCGCTTAGACTTCTTGTTGTTGGACTCACTGATGGCCAAGTGATGGGCGGCCGACATCTTGATAAACCACTGGGCCTTAAACATAGGTATCTTAAACTCGTATAGACTGCCAAATATCTCCTCCTTCTTGTGAAAGACGGGTACTTTGCGCGACAACTGCGACAATGTCTTGGCATTGGAGGCCAAGTCCTTAAACCAGGCGTCGGCGACACTCCTCGACTTCGACGTCACGAGCAATATGTTGTCTTTGGCGTTGATCTGATGCTTCTTCCTTGTGGTCTCCGGCAGAGTATTCATCTCCAACTTCTTGGACAACAAAGCGCTGAAATACGAGCCAAACTTATTGGGCGTCAGATTGGCGTTACGGGCGGACCCGTACTCGTCGGTCATTCCCTGGTTGTTGTTGAAGCCCTGCTTCACGTTCACGGCCGTCAACTCATCCTATGGTGACAGTGAGATAATGGGGTCGTATAAGACAATCGGTGGTAGAGTTGAGACGACAAACAAACCTCTTTCTGTTTGGGGTCCTGTGGGTAGACGTCGGGCGGACCCAACTTAGCCCTCTTGAGTGGCCTCTTCTCGTAGAGCCAACTCGAGACCACCACCGCTGACATGATCGCAGTGTCTGTGTCTTCTTCGTGTCACCCGATTGGCGGTCCAAATGGTGGTCACTTCAGTGCCGAGCGATTCAAATCAACACAAATTGTATGCCATTTGCGAAACCAGTTTAACAACAAATTGTTGTCATTTTGTGTGCCTTTGAGTGCAAAGTGTGTGTGAATTGGGTGTGAATTGTGGGCCACAGGTGTCGCTACTGACAACACCTGTCAGTTCGCTGCAAACAATACCCCTTTATTGCACATTCAATACACCCGTCAATCGCTGTTATTTCATGTTTTAAATTGATCATGTTCATTCTCATTTACAATTAGCTCAATAGCGCGGTATAGGAGGCCCCCACTTCTCCAGGGGTAGCGAATTTTACACATTATTTATGGCTTTTAATTATTGAACATAATTTTAAATTAGTAATTTTATAAGCGCTAGATTTTGAACCAACTTTTGCATGATATTCATCAATTTATTTAAAATTAAGTAAATCTAGTATAATTTTGTATAATTAGATTTAAATGAGTAGGGTTAATATAACTAGGCGAGTAAATTTTTAGAATAATATAAGCATCAAAATTGAATTCTTTAATTAGTAATTTTTTTTCATTTTAATTTTAATAAATTCAATTATCACTTCATAAGAACTTGATAACTTATCAATGATAAGTTTATTGAAGTTGTATGATTTAAATCACATAAATCCATCTATAACATACCTTACATTTTTAGTTATATTCCTGATATAATTAACAAAAATAATGTTTAATAAATTATTTTACATTGAAAAAAATGTTGCACTGAATTACATGTGAAAATTTATAACAAATAAATAAATTATATTATACTGTACAAGTATGTATTTGATCAAGATATGTACAAGATCATACAGGTATGTATTTGTAATGTACGGACACTACAGTAGAATAAATAATAGCACTTCAGTTGTACTGATCAGTACTATTAATCAAAAACTTGTGGTAAGAAATGATGAATTGTGAAAAAAATAATTTTTATAAAGATATTTCACTTAATAATTAATAAGTATCTCGTCAGTGATCATAGTACCTACTATTACCGGTAGTAACTAGCTAATATTATTTTAGTACATACTGTATGATCACTGCAATATTGCATGTTCTATACTGTAATGCATTATATATTATTGAGATAAATATATCATTAGAAATACATTATTTGAATATAAATGAGGCGAAAATTGTATTTGAAAATAACATCGATGTATAAAACGTGTAATTCATAACTGATTTGTAAAACATAAATTGAAGTTTAATGTAATGTTCAGATGTATTACTGTTTTCTCAGAATCCCTATATGGTCGGAAATTGTTTACAAATCTATGGTTGAGTTGAAATCTTTTTAATAAAAATAATTGACGATTATTTCGCAAATGTTTGCAAATTCTCAAATTTTTATAAACTCTATTAATTCACCCGTGAGAAAAATATTGGTATAAATAAAATTAAAATGCGAAATCACTACCACCTCGTGTCAATAGAATTGTGGAATTGACCTTGTTATTTAAGGTGGCATTCATAGGCACCAGAATCCGAGTTTCGTTGACTTTGGATGACCAGTATATTTACAGGAATTTTTAACCACAATTCATTTATGAATAATGTGGTTTATAGGATCGTTTGACTTATGGAATTTAACATGGGACATTTAAAACCATGTTAATCCTATGGCTATACATTAACATGCAGAGACTTTCATAGGTTTAACATGGGGACGCGTTAACATGAGTTTCTATGTAATTACACTTAAGTCTATGACATTCGGCAATATAATATGGAAAATATAGATGAAATTTACTAACGAGCAAAGGGTAACACATTTTGAACGTCGATTCTTTTCTAAAGTCTAAATTCTGTTAAATTAGACATAAAAAATTAAATACAAATATCTCGGGCTGATAGCCAGAAACGGTCGAAATATGACTATTTTTGTGATATTGCTCGTACGGCGTATACCATGTAGTAGTGGTGATTAGCCCGCTATAAAAATTTTGTTATTTTTGTGAATAAAGTGGTCATTCAATCACTTAATGATCCTCTCGTCGTCCATATAGTATATAATTATTATTTTATAAGTTATATATTGAAGGCATAAATAAAGGAGAAGTGAATGATTGGAAACATGGATTGAAGACATTATTGACTCAATTAGTAACTTCTAAATTCAATTCATACTCTTATCATTGGAATAAGTGTTTAAATCAATATTTTTATGCGATTCTGTAGTCAGACATATTTTACCCCGAGTTATGATATAATTATACTGCAATGAATGTCTCAAATGTAATCCCAAAAATAATCCATACTTTCGTGAATTTGGTTAACTATTAATATACTTTATTACTGTTGGGCTAAAACTATGTCGTGAAATACATCCACTTATCAATCATAATACTCTTAACGTTAAACTATTGATTATAAATCATATTTATGTAAATTGTGAGAAAAATTTTATATCGTCTAACAAAACTGTTATATTGCATACACTGTTTGTTATGCACTATTCTTTCAATTATAACTTTATTTAAGTATTTTATTTCTTTGTCTGAAGAATGGATTAAAAGATTTTTAACAGATTTCTCAAAACAGAAATTGTTTTTCGCTAACAATGTATTTATTATGTAATCCAAAGGAAATTAAGATTTTAATTATAAGATAAATACATTCAACAAATACAAACTTGGGTTCATTTAAATAGCAGTGAATTTTGAATATCAAAGTTACAAATATTGGCCTAAAATTTAAATAACAATAAAATTATAAATATTTTTCATGACTCCCGGACTCGGATTACTTGGTGTTAGAATAGTATTGAAGAATTTTTTTTGACACAATATCTATACCTTTATAGGCTATACATTATATTTTCCATTCAATTGTGTTTCAAAATAGTTTGTACATTTCTTCCTTTATATGTAATAAACTTAACAAAAAGTACAAAATAAACTTAATATTAATATAAGAATAAGGGCTTTGTTTGTATTCTTTATAAGAGGATTATTATCTAAAATATTGTTGAATTCTATCAATATTTAGATAAATATACATTATATTCAGTTTTATAATTACAATAACAATAAAAATAAGCATTGTCTACAAAATTCAAACATGTTGATAGAGATATAAATATACGTACGGACAAAAAATAAGCTCATATTTTATTAGATTACTTTTGATTACTTATTAAATTGCATAAAAAATTGAAAAAATTGAAGGAACATATATTAAATACAATTGTTTATAAAGATGTGTACAAAGAATATTCTATTAGATATTTGTAATATATTCACAGCAGGAGTTGTAATGTATTTTGTTTGCAAAAACTTGAAAATATAAATAAAAATATTTCTAAAAGTTTGCTCAAAAATATTAGAACTCAAAACAATTTCCTTAAATACTCAACGCATTTATAAGACCTAAATATTATATTTAATTTTGTTTTTTAAAATAAAAGTACCATATTTTAAAATAAGTTTACATTTAATACATGTGTGTTTTGGTTATATATATTTTTGCGAATTTTGTTTTGAATAACATTTAAGAGACACTCTTGTGATTATTTATTGAGTTATTAAATCAGTGTTTAAAACAAATAAAAACTAACGTTAGGTTTCAATGTTTAAAACAAAGTTTTCGCGAATAAATGTATTTTAAATGTCGTTTGATTTTAATCTGTTATAAGTTTTGATTTATTAGTACAAAATTGTTGTACATTTATATACAGAAAATAATCTGCTTTTGAAAATATAAAACACAAATTTATCAGCAAATCTTAGACATTCAATATTCACTAATATTAACAAAAATATTTTATATAATAATAAATACTGTATAACAATATCTTTGCTCAAATCCTGCTTTAAAACTAATTAATTAAAAATAAAAAAATTTCAACAAAACTTGATAATATTTTCGCAATTTTATTTACTAAGCTCTAGAATCTAAAGTCTAGATATTCTGTAGTTTATTCTGTAGGATATATAATATATATTTAGTACAAGAATTGAAAGCATTTTATTGTAAAATTACTGTCTAATGAGGAATGAGTTCACAAAACCCAACACAACAATCATTTGAGCAAAAATTGTGTTAAGAGTTGTGTTTAAATGAAATACAATTGTAATTATAAACGCATCCAAAGGGAAAAATTGCGGAAATGAAAGCATTAATTGTCGAAATCAATGG